GGAGGGAGGGAACAATAGAGTACAAAAGATTGACATGGGCCCAGAAATCCGAAGATGCTCAAAAGCACATCAGAGGTTGGACCCAGGTCAGCCTGAAGGGGACCAGTGCAGAGTGGTGAGCCCTAAGAGTCTGTGGAACTCACCACAACTCACTGACCACGGCCAGGGGAACGAAACCCCAGAGGGGCCAGAGGAGGCAACCAGAAGAAGTCCCAGCGAGAGAAGTCATTGATGAGCTAAAGAGCCCATGACATGAAGAGCTGCCATCAGTGAGTACTCAGGAATTGCTCAGCTCTGCCAGGCCCTCTCCGTGCTCCTCAGCTCACTCCATCTTCACAGTGAGCCTACAAAGTAGGGACCTTTGTCACTGTCCCCATAGGTGGGGAAGACATGGCTCAGAGAAAAGAAGTAACTCACCCAGCTGGCAGGTGGCAGAGCTGAGATTTGAACTCAGTTCTGATCCACTGGCCACACCATACAGAGGGCCAGGCTCCAAGACAAGAAGAGGCAAAGGCAGGTCAGGAGGTGCCACACGGGTTTCCAGTCCCACCCTGTATCCTGTTAAAGGGGTTGTGACCCCCAGCAAGTCTGGCTAAAAATAGGACCAGAAGCCCAGGAGGTGTCTGCCATTCAGAAAGATGCTCAGGGCACTGTTATATTCTTAACAGATCTCACAAATGACCTGAAGTACATCTGGCCAGTAATCCTATGTCACCCGCGCCATGGGAGGACTGTCAGCTAATGGCAAAGCCACTTTCCTCAGGTCTGTCCTCTGGAGGCACTTGGCCAGAATAGCCGAGGCCACTCCACATGGCAGACAGTGCTGGAGCAGCAGTAGCAGTGGCCAACACTCGGCAAAGGGGGCTCTTGGGAAAGACTGGCTCATGCCCCTGGGAGTAAGTGTTCACGGCCAGCCAACTGAACTCATCAACAGAACCCACCAAACTCTTGAAGCAGCTGGTTCCTTCCAAGGAGAAACAAGCGTTACCCCTACCCACCCGATCCAGCTAACGAACCGCACACAGAGCCCACTGTTCACTGCAAGGCAAGGAGACAGATGCTGCTAAGTCTAAAGCTGAATAGCTGAGTGGAACTGGTTTTAAAGTCCGTCTGATACCTACACCCAGCCATCAGCCACCTCCTTGCTGTTCCCAATGACGCGGGAAGACCCGGTGAACCTGGGTCCCTCCCAGTGGCTGGGGCTCAGCGCTGTTCATAATGGCAGCTACACGGTCGTCTCTTTTCAAAGGACGCAGCCAACAAAAACTCTTCAAATCTTTCATATGTTTGAACCACTGGTTCTGTCCTACAGCCTGCCAGGTGACTAACCACAACAGCCTACATCTGACAGCTTAAATAGGGAATTGTAAATGAAAATCCCATGCAAACGGCTCCCATCACAACCCGCCATCCTTGCGCAAAGGGTCAGAAGGAAAGGAAGGAGTCGGCGGCCAAGAATACCCTGGAATCTGTCTCAGGAGGAAGCTGGCCACAGACTGTACATGTGTGCCATTATGTGGATACCACTCCGTGATCAATGACAGATGCCAGTCCTGATTACCAAGGAGAATGTCCCAAGGCTTCCCTTGAGGGTCCCGATCTAGACTTGGCTGAGTCCACCCTCCCAAGGCAAAAGATAAAGCACTCTGGATGTGGCCTCTTCCAGTCTTCTGATTTGCAACCCAAAGGTTAGCCTTTGAAATTAAGGAGAGGGAGCCCTGGCCAGTGTGGCTCAGTTGGCTGGACAGGTCCCATGCACCAAAAGGTCCCTGGTTTAATTCCCGGTCAGGGCACATGTCTGGGTCTCGGGCTCAGTCCCCAGCAGGGGGCCTGCAGGAGGCAGCTGATCACTGGTTCTCTCTTATCATTGATGTTTCTCTCTCTCTCTTCCCCTTCCTCTCAAAAAATAAAAAATCAATAAGAATATTGTTTTTAAAAAAGATTCAACTTTAAAACGATGAAATTGAGAAGAGAGTGGGAAAAAACAGAAGAGGGAACAAAGTTGATTCTTGACCCCACAGCTGAGGGCGCCGGGGCCTAGCGTGTGGCACTGGCATGCTAACTTTAAAGATGTGCCTCCCGGGGCATCTGGAACCAAGCAGAACAATTACCATGGTGTGCGGGGTGGTGGGAGGAAAGAGAAGCCTCACCAACCCCGCCCTTGGCCTTTACTCACTCTCGGGCCTCATTCTCACTGGGTGTCCTCCCTTCCTCTGTGAACGGCGGACAGTACCTTGTCCCTCACTGGAGGCTCATATGCACTGAACAGTGTAGTATCTACAACCATGGAGTCCAGCCTTTCCTTCTCGGGAACTCAACCAAAAACAAAATGGAAGAAGAAGTTGCTCAAATATGAGAACTTCAACGGCCAAAATAAGTTCACGCTGAGGCTTGGACGCCACACTTTCAGAGGCAGCCAAAAAATATGACCACCTCCTGACTGAGGAGGGATGTTATATATGATCAGTAGATTCTGTATCAATAAAACAAGAGTCTACTCAACACAACCAAATTAATATTTAAGAGCTATGATAATTTCTAAATCTACACAGCATTAAAAATTTGCTCTGTGATCAACCTCAACCTTGAATCATCTGGGAGGGCTGGGTCCTACCCTCAGAGATTTCGATGGAATTGGTCTGTGGTGCAGCCTGGGCACCAAGATTTATTCTTTGAAGCATCCCAAGTAATGTTAATGTACAGCCTAGAAAACTAGTGACCTAACTTAATGAAGGCATTTAAGAGTATGGCTATGTGATATAAAGCATATTTAGTGCATTCAGAAGAAAAAAGTACTCAAGCAAACTCTGATTGATAGATACAGAACAACTGGATTACAGAAAGAATTATCAGCCAGGTTTTGGTCTACGTGTAAGCTCCTCCAATAACACTTCACAGAAACCCCACTGTGAAAAGGAAGATTGGTTCCATCAGGACTGCGCAGGGAACTCAGGAAGGTCAGAAGGAGTGGAGACAGACTGTCATTCAAAGATAAGAAAAGACCAGACCTCAGAAGGGGCTCAGGTCTGGACGCATGTCAGGCCACATGGAGGGGAGCGGCAGGCCCTGAGCAGAGAGCCTCATCTGTGCTGAGCGCCCCATGTCCCTTGTCCCAGGAAGGTGCACAGAACAGAAGGCTCTTTGGAGATTAACCTCAAATGTCAAGGAGGAGTTGTGAGCATCGCCTCCAACGAGGAAAAACACTCAGCGGAAACCCCAAAATGCAGAACATCTGTCTAAGAGGATAGGCCAGGGTCTTAAGGGATCAGAAAAAAAAACTCTCTCACCTCAAAATCCCCAGGCTCGTACCTAAGGGCAAGCAGGGCGGCAGGGGGCCTTGGTAATCCTGTTCCGAGTATAAGAGGAAACCCTCCGGCCACAGGGAGGGAAGGAGCCCTCCGCCCAGCTGGGCAGCGGGGCCCTCTGCGAGGACAGTGGGTCCAACCCCTTGCCCCGCACTGACAGCTGAGGCCGCCCAGCCCTGGGCTGAATTCCCTCAGGGACACGGCTCTCGTTTTCAGAAAACATCTGGTGACCTCATCACCCAGGCCAGCTCTGGCCAAGGGACTGCAAACTGCAGCCGTAAAAAGACCTTTCTGGTAGCGAGGCAAAGCCACAGCCTCTCCTTCCAAAATAAGCGTTACCTGCGGCCCCGCCGCGCGGAAAGCAGCCCCCTGGGCCTCGAGCATCCAGGTGCCAAGACCTACAGCGCAGTGCCTGCACCCCGGCTCACCAGGGGGCCAGCGGACATTTCCAGGCAAAGACGTTTGCTCTCCAAGCCCATGAGTTGCACCGACGTAAAGTGAGGAAAAGCCCGTCGGGAAAGGGGGAGCCACGCCCGCTGGGGGAACTCAGGTTCCGACAGTGTGGCTCTCCGCGGGCCCTGCGGCCCTCCCCGCCCGGGGCGTTTACCTGGACACGCGGGGCAGCAAGATCCCGGAGGCTTGGAGGGGCTTTTGCAATGCACGACACATCGCACCTCGGACTCGGTGACAACGCCTTCCTGCAAAACAGAACACCCAGGCGAAGTGAGCCCGGGTCCCCGAGGGCCCATGCACTTTGGAAAGTAACCAAGGTAACCGGAGAAGGGCCCGGACACAAAACGTGCGGAGCGAAGCGAGGGCGGGTGTCAGGTGCAGGGGTGGGTGGCACAGGTCAGCTCACGTCCCCCTGGCTCTGCCCACGGATGCTTCTGAACTCAGGGCGCTGGTCCTGTCTCTTCCCTCGCCCTGACCTTGGCCCTTCTCTTTGGCCCTGATGTCTGTCTGTCTGTCTTACATCTAGTGTTTAAGGCCCTGCTGCCAGTCAGTAGCTGATGGAGCCTCACTGTTCACAATTGTTTTAAGCTTTCAACACTTGCTGTATTTTCCAGCATTGCTGTTATACTTTAAGCCATTAATTACGAGGCAAAGGGTATGAGCATAATATTCCAGACGGGCATCTGGAGGCCTAAATCCTTGAGACCCTTCTAGAAAAAACTAGCCCAGCTCTGCGATCTTAGATGTTTTACTCTGCCCCCTACCCCCCCAGAGCCTGGCTCTCCAGCATCAACTGAAGAGATGAAACTATTTTAAAGTTCGTCATACATATGTCAAAATAGGGACTTCGGGAAATCAAGTGACTCATTGGCAAACTGATCTTGGGACTCTAGTATCTTAATATCAGTTGAAACATTATTTAAATTAATTTTCAGAGTTGGCTGTCAGAGAATTTTCACCATGTTCTGTCCCTATTTTATAAATGGATTTGTGTGTTTGTCTGGTGATTGCTCAGTCTTGTTTTGAGGGGACGTGTAACACAGGCTAAAAATAATGTAACGATTTGATAACGAGATCATTTTCCTCTGTGTCTGTTACCATAGCATCTCAACACAACAAGGAAGGAGTTTTTTCTGAAATGTCTTCATGTCTGTCAGGCCTGAGGCCCCCACCACCAGTGCAGTTTATTGTGGTCCATATTACACTGGGAAAGAAAACAACAACCGCCAAAATCCTATGATATACATCAAAAAAGAACCTGCGCCTCAGTTATACAGCCGAGGCAATGCAAAGGGCTACGGCTCAAGGTCAATTCCCTTTACTATCTGCAGGCCAGATGGGGGATTCTTCGGGTTAGTTCCCGTGAATTTCCTGCCTGCCATCTTCAGAGTGTCCTGTTCCAGTAAAAAGGTAAAAGCAGAAAATAAAGGTGAATTTTTCACCCATCAGAACTCCTTCGGAAGGAGGCTGTAAGAAACGAGCTCGAATTCAAAGCAACTGGAAATAAACCAGATCATTAGACCAGCTGTTACCTGTCTGGCACCTAGCTGGACCCAGGACCTGCAGGCTCTACCAGAAGTGATCTTAACGTCAGCCTCCTATTGCTCACAGTACAGCCGCCCTATGAGATAGGACCATTCTCATTTTGGGGGGATGAACGTGAGGTCCAGAGAGGTTAAGTAACAAGTTCCATGAGTGGCAGGTCCATATTTTCCTTACTACACTGCGCTCTCTCTGTTACTGAACCTGTGGGCATCTAATAAGAATGTGAATAGATAAGATTCAGATTTCAATAAACTAAATGTAAATATACTTGAGGTAAGATCAGAGAGATCCCTGGCTAGTGTGGTTCAGTTGGTTGAGAACCATCACGTGCATGGAAAGGTCAAGGCACATACCCAGCTTTAAGGTTTGATCCCCGGTTAGGGTGCATGCAGGAGGCAACTGATCGATGTCACATCAATGATTCTCTCTCTCTTTCTCTCTCTCCCCCCTTCCTCTCTCTCTAAAATCAATAAAAACATATTTAAAACATATTTTAAAAACACCACAGAGAAATATATGTTATTATACTAACAGTTCTTTCTCCTTTAAATGTAAAAGTATACCCTTGACCAATGAAATTGAGCTGGGGGTAAATGATTTAACAGCATCTTGTCTACAGAGAAGAATTTTAAAAGTACGCCAAAATTTGACGAGCTTTTTTTTTTTTAAGATTTTAATTTTTTCTAACTGATTTCAGAGAGAGGAAGGGAGAAGGAGAGAGAGAGAAAAACATAAATAGTGAGAGAGTGTCATTGATCGGCTGCCTTCTGCACGCCCCCTACTGGGGATCAAGCCCGCAACCCAAGCATGTGCCCTGACTGGGAATGGAACCATGATCTCCTGGTTCATGGGTCGATGCTCAACCGCTGAGCCACATCAGCTAGGAAATGAGCATTTTTTAAAGAGCATTTCTTAAGGGGTAAAAAAGGGAGTTTGAAAATTTAGATTCTGCATTTGCCATTTCGTTTATCTTGCTGTGTTTCAGACCCGTAACGATCAGAACCACATAGAGTCAACACTCTTTCCCAAGTTCAGCAAGTGCCAGCCACAGTGGGCTCCTTAGGAGCTGACCCTGTGGTTCTTAAATTTGTTGGGTTGAAATCACTGAGGTTACAGTGTACTAATTGCTTTGACTGAATACAGTGTACAGACTGGCTCCAATTCAAAACGTTTCTGAATCAAAGAAGGAAAACATATATCCGCTTACAGTGCCTCTTTCTGCTCACAGGAATTTGTGTTTTGCTTAAAGTTGGCTCACAGGAAGACATGAATTCTCCCCAAGGACATATGCATCTTCCAGGAGGTTTTCCAGGCACGATTTAACAATGAACAACTCCTCTGTATGTTACTGGAAACAAGTCCCATACAATATCTGTCCTGGACTGTCTTGTGTTGGTGACTGTCATGATAAATATGTACAAGAATAGAGTTGGGCCCAGCCGATGCGGCTCAATGGTTGAGTGTCGACCTATGAACCAGGAGGTCATGGTTCGATTCCTGTTGTGGGCTCGATCCCCAGCAGGGGGCGTGCAGGAGGCAGCTGATCAATGACTCTCTCGCATCATTGATGTTTCTCTCTCTCTCTCCCTCTCTCTGAAATCAATAAAAACATATTTGGGAGGGGGGAAAGAATACAGTTGGTTTTGATTGTTGGTTTTGGTTGGTTTTGGTTGGCTGGTTGTTTTGGTTTTGTTCTGTTGCCTGAAAGGAACTCCTGAGGAGGGGTTTAAAGATTCCTTTTTACTGGAGACTAAGATCGCTGGACCTTACCTGGCACTGGCGCAGGACACAGGGCTCCCCGGGACTCTGCCACTTGACGGAGCTGTTATAGGTATTTCCTTCATAGGTACAACCTAGACCGAAAACACAGAAGCAGAAAGACAGGCCAACAATGAATATGGGTTTGTTTCCTTTATCTTTGGAGCAAAAGAAGTTATGTTATCTCAGCCAGGACTGGGGATCACAGGAGCCATCATACTCTTTTGCTATTTCCCCCAAAACACAACTAAGCTTTTTAAATATCCACTTGGCCTTCACTTGCATTAATTCTTTAACTACTGAGAAGATTAACTGCATGGACTATATTTTCAAATGAAAAACCATGGATTGATGAGCTCTCTTGGCCCAATGTATAACCTCATGCGTGACTTTATTTATGTCTCGTGAAGTATGCGGGGGACCAGGTCTAAAACACCACGGTGAAAGGGGATCTTACATAAGACTAAATGGACTCAAAACTGCTGCAGGTCAAGAGGGACGTTTAAAACATGGTAGCAAAAATAAAAGCAGAAAATTAAAATACAGACAATGATTGTAAAATTCTATCCCCATCTGAGACTCTTGACAAGCTACCATCTTCACCAGCTGAAACCTCCCAAGTCTTGACTCCCAGCTCAAAGAGCTGTGATTTCACATTTCACTTTGATTTTACTTTCAGGCTGTGAACTAGATGAAGGAAATGTGAAACTATCAATGTATAGATTATCACATGCTAATTCACTAGCCAAAACAGAATTCATGCTCGCTTATTGGAAAAAACAGAAGCCAAAGGCCAGAGATCCTCAAAAGAGGCAACAAGCCAGTTAATTGAAGTCCCTATAGAAAGAGCCAAAGAAATAATGGTGCAATGATCACAGCCTAGATCTTGATTTCGCTTGTCCAAATAACGTCCTCCACCCTGGGTATGACACTTTTGGGGATGCCTCTAGGCACCGCATATTATAGGAGCCCACTGGACAAAGAAATTTACCAGTTAAGAGTCCAATTGCTCAGCCCGAAGAGTACAGAAGAAGGGACACACGCCTGGGATAACAGGTCCTGCCTCTCAGAACCAATGACTGACTTCTGGCAAATCAGTCAACCTCAACTCACATCACTTTTTCTTGTCCAAGATACAGAGAGGAGCCTCACCTTCTCCCCTGAATTCTTTACAACAACAACAGAACCCTCTGAATACATACAAACAGAATAATTAAGGGCTTCAGAAAATCTCGACAGACATTTTCAGGGGCTTGGAACCATGATCTGAATTCCCAGTGAATTGTGAATGATTGAAAAGAGCTCAGTAATGCTCTTCTCTCTGGTTCCTACAAATCAAATTACCAAAGTACACAACTGATTGGAAACATATTAGAGAAATGCTTTCACTATATATTTTTTAATTTCCTTTGCATGAAGTGTTACAGCGATAAAATGTTCAACCACAGGAACCCCTCGCACACTTACAAATGCTCACGCCAAACCGAGAATGAATACAGTAAATTTCCAACAATGAAAACCAATATGAAACAATTCGAGCTAGCATAAATCTTCCCGAACAAACACACTCACAATAGACGCGCCATGTGCACGTCTGATCCACTAACACGGGCTCGCTCGGATGATAAATAACTTGTTCCGAGAGAGGGAGGCGGGGAAATCAGAGGCCCAAGTCCAATTCATGCGAAGTCCAAGTAAATATGAAACGCCTGCCAAGTCCGCCAGTGGGGTTTCCAAATATGTCATATATTTTCATCCTCTGGATTAAAAAAAGTGGAAAGAAAGGGTGATTTTATGCTGCTAATAGGGCAGGCAAAGCTCTTGCCTTTTGACTGTGGGGGAGGAAGTGCTCTACAAAACCCACAGAGCCCCAGAAGCAGCTGCCGGCCAAGAGGCTGCTCCCGACAATGCCAGGTCATGTGCGCGGGCTCCCAGCAGCGGGAAGGCCTCTCTGAATCATCCCGCTCATGGGGGCTAAGAGCTATTGGAACAAGTGGTCCTCAGTGCGGGAAATGCAGCGATGTCTTCTGCTTCCAACAACCGTCAGCTGGAAGTCTGGCTCCCCTACCTTCTCCCAACACGTACAGACCAAGGTCAAGTTGTAAAGCGCTGTATTGCTTCACTGCCCTTGTTTACATGGCAGTCGACCCCACCCGGCTCCATAGAATAGATTCCCCCAAATGTTGGGTGAGTCTGGATTACAGAACAGACTCAAAACCGCCTGGTAATAATCACTTCAGAGAGAATCATCCCCAGCTTGTCCTTCTACCCTAACTAACCTTCCCCAGCGTCAGCTAGTTAGGGAGACTCCAGGACACCAAGCGTCATGGCAGATCTCAGACCTAGAGGGACTCTGGGGAACACAATAATGAAAGGAAGAGATGTCCCCTGCTGTTGGTCCCTGTTGTAAACTAAACATCTTACCCTAAAGCCAAACACTAACAGGAGCTATGTGGACACACACACATGGAATCAAAAAGAACCTTGGGCTTACTCTAGAATTATTTCTTATTCTCTATAAGGCAAATTTCTTTATAACAAATTCTGTTGGCTCCCAACTTTATGGGGCTAATACGGCAGGCAGGCAACATCTTGCCTTTGTTTTTATTTAACCCCCAGAGAAGCAATATACTGAATATCTCTTAGTGGCAGAGGTAGAAAGGGAAGCAAAAATACCAATTTGTTTTGTTCTTTCAATCCAACGTGGACTGATACTTCATAATCTATAATAAAATGAATTGCTAGAAAAATTCAATTTAAAAGACTAGGACAGAATATAAGCCTAATGTTTTATTATTGTACGTAGCAGGCATAGAATTACTCTGTTGAATTATTTAAAAAATCTCTAATTGTTTACTCTCCATTCCTGCCCTTATCTCATTGTAGACCAGCATCGTGGTGTGTGGATCATGGGTGAGCTGCCAAGCACATTTTGGGTGCACTGCACTGGGGGATGTGTCGTGGGGTCAGGACCAACTCAAAGAAATAACTGAAATATTTCAATCTTAGTTAGAACTAGAGGCAAACTTACTGATAATACAGATTATCTCCTTCATTTCATAGTTGAGGAAATTTGCACGGAAAGAGCAAAGTGACCTGCTCAAAGTGAGAAGGCATCGGGTGTGAATCTGACACTGGAATCCAGCTCCTGTGTGAAACCCACATTGTCACACCCAGGTCTAAACCAGCCATATTACCTGGGCACTTCATAATTCCCAATACCCTTCGCACTGAGGACTCGAAGGCCCCAGAGAAAAGCCAATGCGATCCTTATAAAATTAAATGAGAGCAGATCCAGGAACTCAGTGAAAGAGTGGATAAGTGGGGTAAGCAAACGAATGGTTAGGCAACCAGTAAAAGAGCATTTCCTTACCCTTTAAATATTTTTAAATAAACTTTCAACCAACAAATTTATAAACATTCATTACTTTTCTTCTGGCAATAAAAAGCATCGCGGGGTCCACAAGCTTCAATGAAACCATCCCTCCTGCAGCGGGAAGACGTGGTTATTTTCTGGTAAAATCACGATACTTCATTTAAACCAACAGCTCTCAATCTAGGGCCATTTTGCCTTCCCCCCATTCCCCATCCAGGGGACTCTGAGTAATGGTAGGAGATATTTTCAGTTGTCACCACTGGGGGATAATGGTGCTACAAACACCTAGTGGGTAGAGGCCAGGGCCCAACAAAGAGCCAACTGGCTCAACGCATCAATTCTGCCAAGGTTGAGAAACCCTGATCTAAACCATCACACACTGCCCCAAACAGGTCTTCTTTACAAAACTAAAATCATACAAAAGCAAGCTTAAATTAGCCCTACTTTTCTCTTGTATGTATTTTGCCTTTTGTTGTTTGTTTATTTAATATTTTCAGGGTGAAGAACTGCAGGACATTTTTCTGTAAACACAGATTTTTTTATAGAGAAACTGGGCCTAGTCAAAGAGTCAGCTCAGAAAACATGTGGCAAGGGAAACGGGGAGAACACAAATAAATGTAACCCACAATTAAGCAATAAAATTCATTTTTCCTATTAGCTCTGACCTTTCAAGGGGCCGCACTGGCCCAAGGGAGAGAGAACCCCGCATTTTCACCATTCTGTTGTTAAAACAGCTATTAAATACCATCAGGGCCATAAAAATCGGCATTGGCCTGGTAACAGCCCTCACCCACCTATTTCACCTTTCTAATCTTAATCCATTCATTTCTCAAGTTCACATCAGCCTAATAGTAGAGAACTGGATCTTACCGCTACCAATGACTCAACCTCTGGTACCCAAGGGCCCCATGACGTGGCCCCAACTTACTTTCCCAGCCCTTTCCCTTCATTTCTGGAACTCCATCTAGGGCCCTGGGATTACATACCTTTCCTTGATAATGAACTTGAACGCTTCTTAAAACAGGTTCAAGTTCTTCAACCAAGGCTATCCAGCTCCCAGCTCCACCACCCCACTAAACTGTGCCTCTGTCGGGCTGCAGCTGCCTAAGTGCCCAATCCAAGGACACTCCGTCTTCACCCTATAGGTCCCCTCTGTGGCAGTCTGACCATGCTGCCTTCTTCCCATCACCCCCACATGCCTTCTAGATGTTCTCTTCTAATGATCTTTCCGCTCCCTCCCACCTGTCTCCCCTGGACCATCACACAGGCTCGCCGACTGTTTCTCGAGGACAGGAGAGGGGCCTTTTTCAAGCATCCTCCTGCACAGCCACAAGCGTGTACTCTTTTAAATCCCTGTCTTATTTATCTCATTCCCACTCCTGAACTGTATCAGTGACTGACGGTTCCCAGCCTGGCTGAGGTGTAGCCTGGTACCCCTCCCCAACCTTTCTTCTCCAGACAATGGATCAGTCTCTGGAAGTAGGAAGTGGAAGACAAATCTAATGTTCAGCCAGGATTGAAAACCATGGACCTTTACTATACAAGTCACACTTCGTGCCACATACAGCTCTCAGGCCCGGCCTGGACTCACTGCTCCTAAGCGTCCCCCACTGCAGGCGTCCTGCACTTAGAATTCCCCCCAGCACGGCCAGAAGATCTCACCCTGTGGTTTAGCAAATACTGGTCCCTTCTTGCAAAACCTAGATCTTACCCATTCCC